AAAGGCATCTGAGAAAAACAAAACAAAATAAAAAATCCCTTTGGTTGTGATTCAGATGGAGCATTGTAGGAGAAAATTTCCCATGTCTGGAAGAGATGAGAGTTGAGAGATAATGACAGAAATAATAATGATGGTGGTGATAGTGGCAAAAATATTAATAATCATGGCTCTGAGATCAAAGGCATTAAAGATATCAGGAGAGGCATTTCAAAGAAAATGAGTACCTTAAATATATTACAATGGGGAAATTAAGAGAAAGTGTCAAGCTGTTCTGCTGAAAAGAGTAAGCCCTAGATTCCACCAGTAAAGGACACAGGGACAATCCTACAGAGGGCTGAGCTAAAGCCCGCTTGGGAGAAGGTGCCTGCCCACACAGGTAAATCATCTCCAGGGCAGGCCAGGAAAAGGCCCATTCACTTCTGGTGGGTGAACACGCTGGTCCCAGGAGGCCACTTTATTTACATCTTCCTCCCACTGGATGAGGCTCATTTATTTTTATATCTCAAATCTACGTGTCGTCCTTGCTCAGATTGTGTGTGTGTTGTTATAAAATACCTTCCAGTGAGCCACCGCTGAAATGGAGTGYGCTAAACAAATGTTCTCTTAGGGCAGTAACTCCTTAATATAAACTGCATTTAATAAAACTGGTAGTGATTCTAAAAAGAAAAGGGTGAGGCATACTCAGAGAAAATGTCTGGAAGAAATTTGCAATTAATATTTTACAAGACATTTAGATTCCAGATTCCTCCTTGCTGTTAAAATTTAAGAGCTTTTTCAAAACTGTATTCCTCTCTGTTATTACATCCTTAATTAAATTAATTTATACAGTGAATGCTCTAATGACACTGCTGTGGATTTCCAATCAAAAAGCCTTATTGCTGGAGACGATATGTGTTAAGACCTTGAAAAAGGAATGACATAAGGCACGGTGCTGACACTGGCATAAGGATTTTTGGCCTTGACAATCTGATGATTGAAAGGTCTTGGTAGTTTTTCTGTGCTTCAATCAAGGTCTTTTTATTTTATTTTATTTTTTAATAGAGTKAAATTAGGTCCATGAAAATAAAATGAATCTTGCAGGTGGCTTTTATGAGGATTTCTCTCTGGGATCCATAATGATAGACAATGACATTTCTGCTGAATGGCACGACCTGTCAGTGGTGCCTACCTGAAATGCTCAATGAAGGAGGCTCTCCTCCCACCCAGTTTGTGGCACCATGAAAGCAGAAACAACCAAAGTTTGTCGGAGAACACAAATGGCAYGGCAGTGGGAAATGCCGATCTAATAATGCTGCACTACAGTCAGAGGCTCCTCAAGCAGCTCAGTCCAAGCACACAGAGCTATCATATCCCTTCAGGCTATAAAAGTGCTACTTTGTAGGGATCTCAAGGACAGTCATGCATGGAACCAGTATTTCATCAGAAGCAGAAAAGCACTAAAGCACAAACCAAGCATGTAGTAGGTGCCTATCCACTGTCCATCCTTATAGATAGGCCACTTGGAGGCCATATTGGGCTTGCTGGCTGCCCTCTCCTTCCAATATCTACTTTAGTACATGGCACAGAGTAGGCACTCAATCATCATTTGTGGTTTATTAATCTCATGAAATACCAATAATGAATGGGCACCAAACCTAAGATCTGATCCGTTGCTTAAGCATCAAGCAACAATTTCTAGAGTGCTTGATCAAACCAAGGACGTGACTCCCAGTCTCTTATTCCTTACTGTCCATGGTGAGCTGTAAAATTTACTTCTTTTATTTCAACTACTATATTTCTGGGATTTATGTTGAACTTTCTGAAGATATAAGATCTGTTATCTTTCTCCGTTACATAGCAAGAGGCCAGGTTTGAGAAATGTGTCCCCACTTATTTTGCACTGATCAGTAAGGCTCTGATCCTGCACCTCAATCCCACCATCCTTTCTCCTGCCCCCAGGAAAGAGGGTCTCCAAAGTCTAGGAAGCACATAAAAAGGAGGGTGCCTTTAAATTAAAATCAAAGAGGAGACAAGCTCCCCTGCATAACAGAGAATCCTATCAGTTTGTTTCCCCTCCTGTACCAACCAAGTCCTTTGTTCCCTTCAAGACAGGGACATGGTGCATAAAGGAAAAAGCAAACCCTGAAACACTAATTRAGTTTGGTTGCATGATAAAAGTTCCTTATGATTCAAAACATCAACTGCAAAAGAAAATTACATGGGGGGGCGGGCAGGAAGAAAACAACCCAGCACTATTTGATCTTGTTATAAATTGAAAGTTTTGGACACTTTAGAAAAAAAGGCAGCAAGTGCCTTTTTAATGGATTTTATCTGCAGGAAAATGATTACAACCAGAAAAGCTTTAAAGTGTCAGCTGGTGATGCATTTTTCTTTATCCCTTTTATTTTTATTCAGAAAGAAATTGAAGGCATATGGYAAAGTGCATCATTAATTTCTTATTAATTTCATAATATGAAGGCAACCAGTTAAAATAGTAGTGCTACAACTTTAAATTACCGAACTCACTTGGTATTTAATGAGAGGTTTAGCACAGCAGGGTTTCTGTTAAATTAAGTTGTGCCTTCACATCACAGTGGGAAAACAGGTGTATATTGGTTTAGAATTATGGAAATGTTGACTAATTCCAAGGCTTGTAATCAAACAGCAAGGCACACTGTAATATTTTTTTYCCCCAAGAATATGCATTAATCTTTCATGTCTGGTCCCATTTCTTCCTGTCCACCAAAGGCACATAACTGAAAGGCAACCACTTTCATGCATTTCCTGCAGCTGTTAAGGGTGATGCTGATCAGATCAAGCTGTACACAAATGGGAGATGTGGACCTCTGTCCCCATTTACCACTTTGAAATGGCAATAGCAAGTGTTGCACACTGTAAGGGCTATCCGCCTTACAAATGAGATCTGACTTCGAGTTTTTGTTTACCCTGTCTCAAGTAATTGGACATATAAAACTGAAATGGGTAAAAAACAAATCCAAAAACAATCTACCAATGAGCTTTTCCAGCTTCCAAATTACTATCCTTCATAATGTGTCTCCAAAGTTGCCACTTCTAAATTCTACATGCAGAATTTCTAAGGGGAAAGAAAAGGTGCAATATTAAAAAAAAAAAAATTACTGAAGGTGCTATTTGTTTACTGAGAACAGGGTCAGAGTAAGGTATCCCAAACAGATGTACAATCATCAGTACTTCCATGTGCTTCGACATGCCCTATCCACACCAGTGTGGATCCCTGGAGAGCATCTCCCCAGGAAGAGGTATGCTCAGGCTGTGCTTCTAGTGGAGGGGATGCATGCAAATTAACCAAGCTCTGCATTCAGTTAGAATATGGTGCTATTTGGCAAACTATACTATACTTTAAATAATAAATAACAATTCATCATCTCGAGCAATTCTTAAAACACACCTACAGAGTGGTATGCTCATTATTGTGAAGCACTTATTTTTAAGAGAAGGAACACAAAGTGGTCTTTGCATTTGAATAAAAATCTGGAAGAAAAAAAAATTATTTTCCTCTACTGTTGGCTCAGCCAGAATCTGCCTTGGTTGCTTCATTCAATAATATGATCTAACACTGCAATCTTCTAGAATTACGTTATAAAAATTCCATTTACATAGAGAATGAAACTGAAATACTCCCCCCCCCCCCTTTAGGTCACTAAGCAAAGCACTTAGACTTTAATAACGGCAGCCTTACTAAAAACCAACTTGGAAGTTGCAGGGAGAAGTAGTTAAATTGGGAGGGACTGTCCTAGTTACATACACTTGCTTTTCTGTTCTTTGATTTGCTATCATAAAAAAAAGGGAAAACCAAAGTGGTATGATTCAAGATCGAGGTTCAAGGTTTATTACTTTGGGGTAATTAACAAGCTAATATTTGGAGAATATTTTATTGAGCATCTTGCCACTATAAATACCATACAATGTTCAGGGTCTAGGGTGAATTAAACAAATGCTATGTTTTCTGGGAGAAAGGGGGATAAGACAGACACTTACATGTGCCTATGTTAAAATGTGCACACGTCTGTGCATGCTTACTGAGAATGGTAAATGACATGGAGCCACACCCTGAAAATGGTTATTTGATATTTTTTTTATTCTTATCAAATCAGGTTTTTGATCTTTTATTTGATCAAAAATGGCTATTTGATCTTTTATTCTTATCAAATCAGATTTTAATAAGATCATCATCATCATCACAGGTTTCCCACAAGTTCTTCATCATAACCATGCATACTGTTATGTTACACAATTAACTCATTACTGATATTTGGGCAAATGGGGAAAATATCTGAACAGTATTCAGAAGTTTACACCAGCATGCAATGTACAAAAATACCACAGAGTCCCTTAAGAATAAAATACTCGGATGAAGTTGCTGTATGCAACATTGGTTCATTTCTAGTGAATTGCACTAATCATCAAATATTATTGTGAAGGAAATGGAAAAAAAAAGATGGTAAGCTTTGTATTTTCTGTTCTGTATCAACACAAAGCCCCAAATTGGGCATTAAAACATTGACTTTGTTAACCACCATTGACTGTTTAGAAATCATTAGGAGGCTTAATATTATGGCTGTACAGGGTACATTTTGTCCTTTCAAAAGAAAAATCCAAAGACTAAATTTGAAAAGGGGCTCCTGGTGAGTAAAAGCTTTTACTTTTCCATTTGCTTCGCTTGTGTGTATTGGGTTGTTTTTTTTCTTTTAAAATCTCAGCCCACCCAATACCCTTTGGCACCTGCTGTACCCAGTGGGGTCACTCTGATTTTCTAACCAGGGGACAGGCTATGTGAGAGCTCTTGCCGTCAGAGTTACTGCCAGCACGCCTTTATGGGCTGGCCAGCGGGTTTGGCTGCCGTGGGGAACAGAGGGGTCAGCCCACACTCCTCAAAAGACCAAAGTCATTTTTGGCACTAAGAACCCATAACTAGAACCTTCAGTTGAAAAGACCATTTTCAAGCAATAAAGTGATTTTGGTACAAAAGTAAACCGACTCACCCCAGGTAAAGTTTTAATATTGTGCAGTGCATTCTGGGCCTCAAGTGCAGCTTTTCTTGTATAAAATGTTACGAAACAACAACCTACAGAGAGAAATGAAAAGGTTTTAGAAATTTCTGTGAATGCTTTGCTTAGATATAATGGAGACTGTGGCGAACAAATAATCTACTTAAAAGGATGCACAATTTAAAAATAATAAAGCACATGAGAACAGTAATAACAACATCTCAAGCACTTACACAGTACCTTTCATCCTAAATCACATTTATTAGCTTTACCCACATTGGAGATCAATTCATAACTGTGCACCAACTATCTGGAATACAGCTATTCAGGAATGTGGGTGGGAGGTGGTGGCTGGGTGAGGTGCTAATGGGACTTAGAGCGTACAACCACTTAAAAAGGAGCTTTTTTTTTTTTTTTTTAAACCACAATAACAATTGCATCAACTTACATTAACTATAATTTTCTTAAAGAGTATCTCTAGAACATCATACTTTTAAAACACTTTTAGGTTTAGACAACTGGATTATAAGTTTCTTAAAAAGCTGGACTAGTAGCACCATATTCTTTATCTCTACCATGGTACATAACACAAAGTTCCGCCCACCCACTCCTTGTGGGACACAGAATGAAAGGCTATATTGTGAGCCGTTTAGAGATTAAGTTATAATATGAATGGGTGTGTGCCCCAACAGATGTCTGCAGACTCTGGCCTGTGTACCAAATATGGTGATATCACAACTCCAGATTCCTCTTTTCAAAGTGCTGGTGGAAGCCAAGTCTGAAGCCCCTCAAGGGCAGATTGGCAGAGACCCTCAACCTCCTGCACCATGGTATCCTGAGGGGTGGCTGTCCCCTTCTCCAACTTATGAAGATACTGGTTGATCATCTGCTAATAAGCATTAAAATTTCTCAGTACAATCAGGTTTTGTAAAAGGAAGTAGACAAACAGTTGAGAAATTTGAAGGAAAAAGATATTGCCTGGCCTTCTTTGGTGAATGGGGGATGAGGGAAAMGATGAAGCAAAGTGCTGCTCACCAAGACTGGACTTTTCACCTCAACTTTAGGAAAGGCTCCTAAGGTATAGAGCCAGAGAGGGATGGTATGAGCTTCACCCACAGCCGGGCAACATGCAGAGACAAATGAACTAAGGCCCTGATGTGGCTTCTATTTAGGGGGAATGACACAAAGAAGACCGAGAAAAAAAAAATGGAACAAAATGGTTTTGGGGCAGGGAGCTGGCAGGGCAGAGCAAGCCATCGAAGATTTAGAATCACATGCTGACACTTTGATATCTCAAAATAAAACTCATTCAGTGGAGTAGGGGAAAATAAAGTGCAATGCCATCCACACTGCATTTTTTTTTTCTTCCCCCAGGGCTGAGGACCGAACCCAGGACCTTGTGTGTGCTAGGCAAGGGCTCTACCACTGAGCTAAATCCCCAACCCCACACATTGCATGCTTAAAGACAAATCCCCTCCTCATCTGGAAAAGACATTCCGAACTTGCTGTCCCACACTGGATTCAGCCAGTCTACCAAGCTTCAATATGCAAAACCTTGAGTGCCTCCTTGGTTTCTTGGCATTTAAAAAAAAATGCCAGGCATCCAAAGATGAGAAATCCTTCAAATGTATCATTTGAATGACTGATGGGGATAACAGACAATTAGGAAGTCTCCTTAAAGAACCATGGGCAGACTGACCATTTTTATATGGCCTGTGCGTCAGCTATTTTGACTTCTTTAATCAGGGTTCACGTGCCCCGGCTGTGTGACAGTCCATATTTTACTAAACTGATAAACTTAACTAGCTATCTTAACTTCTTTGGGGTAATGCAAGCCCCAGAGAAGCTTCAAGAATTGCTTCAATGCAAGGAATAAATTTAAACAGGAAAGTCCCAGTTTCCAGTCATCTGTTGTAATCATTTTTGGAGAGAGAAAAATACCAACCATGCTGTACTGGGCTTAGTACAGAAAGAATATCAGGAGCTGGGTGCAGTGGCACATGCCTGCAACCCCAGCTGTCTGTAAGGCTGAGGCAGGAGGACTGCAAGTTCAAGGCCAACCTCAGCAACTTAGTGAGGCCCTAAGCAATTTAGTGAGATTCTCTCTCTAAATAAAATATATTAAAAAGGGTTCCCCTGGGGAAATGACTCAGTGCTTATGCACCCCCCTGGGTTCAAYCTCTGGTATCAAAACAAAACAAAACAAAAAAAAAAGGAAAAGATTTTTGAATGCTTCCAACAAACACTCTCAACAAGTTCTGCTTTCCTTCTCCTAGGATTACAGAGTCAGCTTTCAGGCAAGGAAGCAACAGAGAAGTTCTGAACTTCAACTTCACTTAATACACATTCAAAAAAAGAGGCAGAATCTGATACTTCAAGCAGGTAGCTTCCTGGGGTGAGATAATTTTAAAAAAGAGGTGGAGCAGTTTGCTTGGCTGAAAAGAAGGAAAACTGAGGAAGAATAAGTTTGGGGAGATAAAAAAGAAATGCTCAGAGGCAAGAATGAGAAGTTCAAATTGGCCTTTAAAAAAGGGGGTGGTGGTGACAGGGGACTGAAAAAGAGGAACTAAGCACAACGAGAATACGAAAGCAACAGGAAAAGAGAGGCTGCATGTGGAGGGACTACATGGGCCTCCCAGCAGAGCTAGCAACACAGTGGGTGGAGGAATGGAGGAAGCATACCTGCCTTCTCACCCAGACTAAATCTCGGCCAGAGTCCCTGAGAACCTTGGGTCCAGATGCTACACCAGTATTCAAATGCCACCCTGGGGGAGGGAGACATTTAATCATTCTTAGTCATTTCCATTTTACTATCAATTTGGCTACTCCAAGAACAAGATTCTTCGGGTCAAAGAAAGAAGGGCATCTTTTTTGTTTGTTTCTTTCTTACTTTCTTTCTTCCAGAAGTACGAGTCTGAAGATGGTGTGTGAGCAGTTTGGGGAAAATGACTGAGGAGGAGAAAGGAACAAGGTGACTAGTGTACAGAGGAGAACAAAGGAAGATACCCCAAATCTCCAGCTCTTTCCAATTTCAAACCCCAGGCCTGCCCTGCCTGTRTACCTGCTTTAGTGAACTCAGCAGCTGATTACTAGGGATCCTCTTCAAACTATCCGTTTAAAACAGATTTTTAAAGATTACACCAAGATAAGCTCCAGTCTTACCCTAACACCACAGGAGGATGTCCTAGAGGACATGGGTGATGTCACTGCTGGCTCACTTGCCACCAACCTGCAGCTCAGCGCCACAGGTGTTAGGCTTGGCAAGCAGCTTGAAAACCCTGAGGATCGGAAAACAGGGTCCCACCTCCAAGTGTGCATTGCCCCTTTCTGCAGCTTGGCGGGCAGAGCAGAGGCTGCATTTCTGCCCCACTCCCCGTCTCATTTGGGTGTTCCCATGTGGTGAACAACCTGTACCGATGTGGGGGTCCTGGGATAGATGTCAAGTCTGGAAATATCACCCCAAGAGTCTTCTTTTGGTTTCATAATCTGGTTCCTGAATGAGTTAGGGAACAGTGTGTTACTTTTATTACTTCTAAGTCAGTAAATAAAAGCCATGTCTGCCTAAGATCTTCCATATACCCTCAAATTACAAATTGTGTGCATATATAGCCACAGTGTTTCATTCAGCATTTAAAAAAAAACAAATTGTTTTTACCTTTACTGGGCTTAAAAATGGTTTATAACTTCATTGTGCACACATAATGACTCACTTAATTAAAACAGTGTTTGGCTAAGTTATCTTAAAATTTGCAGAGTAGACACCTCCAAATTTAGAGAGTCACCTTCCATGCAGAAGTCAGTACTTCTCCTGCAATGGGACCTGGGTACATTTTGAAAATGAAAATGTATTGGACAGACTGTTGTTTCTATGAGTGTTCTCCCAGCTAACGGCCATAGTCTTTTTTTATTCATATATCACTTAACATATTCACTTAAAATCGTAGATTCATTGACCTGCACAGACTATCTCAGTAAGRCAGGAAGAAGTATTATTATTTGCCCTGACATGGTAATTATGATAGAAAAAGGTCAGGGAGCTAAGAGAGATCCCAGAAAACCCAGGCAGGCTCRATGAGCATGAAATTTTCTTTCTTGCTGGCCCTCACTGGAAGTACAGCTGTTGAGGGAACCACCTGTCTCCTAGGTTTCCCCCTGCCAGCTGTAACTCAGGTCTGAAATGTACTGGATTCATTTCCAGGTCAGCTGCAATGCCAGATGGCTCAGCCATCGCATTCAGGGCAGAGGCCTCCCTCCTCCTCCAGGTTCTGCTTGAAACATCAGCTTCAGGTGGGTGGCTAAACATCTACAAAACCCAGGTGCTCTTCAGTGGTTCCAACACATATCTGAGGGGCCATCCTGCTAGCCTCGGTGCCCATTCCTGGATCTCCCGTTCCCTGCTGTCCACAGAGTRCTGAGAATGGCCGTTCTCCCTCAACCCCCAGGGACCCTGGGATTGGCAGAGGCTTGACAAGTCTGGTGCTTCAGCAAGTCTCAACCCTCCTAGTTCTGCTTAACACTGGTCATTTCTGCGGCCTCCATTTGTCTAGTTTGCTCCTTTGACACTGTCTAATAAGCACTCACACTTTGCAATTTGTTTCACCTTCATCCACTCATTCAGGCCAAGTTAGAATAAGACAAATGTGACATTCCACACCCAAGTTACTTGATGGCATTCCTGTCGCAACAATTTCAACAATTCACTCTGTTCCTAAATGCTTTGGAAGTTGGAATGAAAAGGAAACAAAAAAAAAATTGTCCATTACCAACCCCTCCCATTTATAGCTCACCAAGTTTTTTTTTTTTTTTTTTTTTTTTTAATTCACAGGTGAAATAGATACAGTGGTAAAACTTGAGAGATGATTTCAGAACCCAGTATCACAGTCTGGGGCCAGTAAACAGCCTGACATTTCCATTACTGATGTCTCCCTTTGTTGGTCACCAAAAGATTCTGAGGATCCGGTGTACCTTAAAAGGGTAATGTATTAAGTCTTACTGGCCATTAATATCTTGCTATGAATTTATTCTGCTGTTGAACTTTGAAACTTGAGCAGGGCCCCTAGGAAGGGAAAGTAAGAGA